ATTAAACACGTCCAGTAAAAAAATTTTAAAAATCAAATTTCGTCATAAATTTAGGACAAAATGTATTCTGCTCCATGTCTTTGCTAAAGAAAAATCCCAATACGTGTAAATTAATTGGTTTATGTGAAAGTTATAGTGATTACAAATGGCGGTATAGATACTGGAATTTTTTTTTCCCACTAATAATGGCGGCAATAGCGGGACTGCGGCGGGCATTCTGACACTGGGGGGGGAACTGACTTGGTGTCACTGACATCCCCAGTGACACCAATACAGTGATCAGTGCTAATAAAAAAGCAGACACTGTACTAATGGCACTGGGCAGGAAGGGGTTAACATCTGGGGTGATCAAAGGGTTAACTGTGTGCTGGGAGTGTTTTACTGGGGGGGTGGGGGTGTTGGTGCTTCACCTTAAGCACGTAAGCTAAGCACGTTGCTCTGGATGGCTGTGCACAGTCATCCAGAGTAGTGTGCCCGGGCCGATTGAGAGGAGGACTATTAGTAAACAAAGCAGTCCTCCTTCTCGTCAGAGATGCTTGGTAATCATTGGGCGCTGGTGGGTAATCACCGGCCGGGACCCGGTGATTGATGGCCGAGAATGGCGGCGTGGGTGGGGTGTGCGCACGGCTCACGCGCAACCTACCTGGAAAGGCAAAATCACGTATATATACGTGATTTTGCGCAAACCCTGCCGTCCTCTAGCAGTATATCTGTGTCGGGTGACATGTCTGGGTTTGATGGTTGCCAGGAGAATGGTACTTGCCTGACTGCATTGTGCCAAGTGTAAAGTTTGGTGGAGGGGGGGTTATGGTGTGGGGTTGTTCCTCAGGGGTTGGGCTTGGCCCCCTAGTTCCAGTGAAGGGAATTCTTAAGGTGAAAATTTCATGCTCCCAACTTTGTGGGAAGAGTTTGGGGATGGCCCCTTCCTGTTCCAACATGACTGCACACCAGTACACAAAGCAAGGTCCATAAAGACATGGAGGAGCCAGTTTGGGGTGGAGGAACTTGACTGTCCTGCACAGAGTCCTGACCTCAACCCCATGGAACACCTTTGGGATGAATTAGATCCAGGCCTCCTCCCCCGACATCAGTGCCTGGCCTGACAAATGTGCTTCTGGAAGAATGGTCCAACCTTCCCATAGACACCCTCCTAATCCTTGTGGACGGCCTTCCCAGAAGAGTTGAAGCTGTTATAGCTGCAAAGGGCGGGGCCAACTCAATATTGAACCCTACGGACTAAGACTGGAGGGGCCATTAAAGTTCACGTGTGTGGAAAGGGCGGGGCCAACTCAATATTGAACCCTACGGACTAAGACTGGCCATACACTATACAATCACTATCACAATCTTCTGGCCAATTTTCTTTAGATTTACCTTTCACTATGTAGCGCAAGGGCCTGCCTAATTGGATACAACTGAAAGGGTTTGTTTAGGTTGGACCTCCTATTATATGGTTTTTGGTAAATCTAAAGCAAAATTCTCAAGAAAGTTGTATAATGTATGGCCAGCCTTAGACTGGGAGGCCGTTAAAGTTCATGTGCGTGGAAAGGCCGGCGGAACAATACTTTTGACAATATGGTGTATGGTAACGTGTGCTGCTTTTTACTGAAGATCACTTTGTTTCTACTGCCTGCTTTGCAGGCAGAAGAAACAAAGAGATTGTCCCCTTTGTACAGAGCCCTGTGTTGTTTGTCAACACAGGGCTCTGGGCTGTGATTGGATACAGCCATTAATCATCAGCCGGGAGCTGCTGTGTTCAATCACAGCAGAGTTGGCGGGCGGGCGTGCGTACCCTGAACCCAGAAGAAAGACGTGATGTACAGGTATGTTACGGTGCCTGCACGAGCCGCCCGTCCGCGGTATATGTACTGCGGTGAGTCGGCAAGTGGTTAACCTATTTTATGCAAATAGCATATTCACCTTAAGCCATTCATGTCTATGGATGGTTGTACGCAGCTTCTGGGCACCAGAAATGCGCAGGCTTTATGCTGCACGGGTATGTGCGCCCATGTGCATGCCGCCTTCCAGTGTATATGAACCTCAACAATGAACTTCTCTTTCAGTCTGTTTAACCATTTGCCGCCCGGCCTATAGCCGTTTGGCGGCCGCAAAAATATTTCAGCTTTCCGGGTGCACGCCATTTGGCATGCTCCCGCACATGCACAGTTCGCGCGGTTGCAGAGCCGCGCAGCAGCGCGATCTGTCACCGGCCATGTACCTCGGACACGGCCGATGACAGATCTGAGTACCGGCCCCCGTTGCCCGTACCATGTGACCTGCTGTGACCAATCACAGCAGGTCACATGACAGTTGTATACAATGGATGGCTTCATTCATGCCATCCATTGTATACTACTGCCTAGCTGTGAATGGTCACAGCTAATCACATGCACATGTCATGTGATTAGCTGTGACCAAATCACAGCTAAGCACAAAAAAAAAAAAAAAAAAAAAAAGCTGACTGAATTGATTTCATTCAGGTAAATGCTTGCTTATAGCAAAGTAATTCTTTGCTATAAGCAAACTGTGGAAAAAAAAAAATACTGATCACTTCCCCAAAGTAGTAAAATATGAAAAAAAAATCTTAAAAAAAATGTAATAAAAAAATTAAAAATAATAAAAAAATAAATATATATATATTTTTTTCATACTGTCACCAGTCAGTGTCCCTGATCACCGCCATGCCAGTTATATGATGACGCTGTACTGCACTGGTGACAGTATGTAAAAAAAAAAAAAATAGTGAAAATAATTTTTTTAATTTTTTTATTTTCCGAAAAATTATGACAAAAAAATACAACTTCAAAAAATCCGCCATTCCTCTTATGAAGTACGTCGGACTGTCTACTCTGCAAAAAAGGGGTCATTTAGGGGATATCTGCACTGTCCTGACATTTGGGGGATATCTGTACTGTCCTGACATTTGGGGGATATCTGTACCGTTCTGACATTTGGGGGATATCTGTACCGTTCTGACATTTGGGGGATATCTGTACCGTTCTGACATTTGGGGGGATATCTGTACTGTTCTGACATTTGGGGGATATCTGTACTGTCCTGACATTTGGGGGATATCTGTACTGTTCTGACATTTGGGGGATATCTGCCCTGTTCTGACATTTGGGGGATATCTGTACTGTCCTGACATTTGGGGGATATCTGTACTGTTCTGACATTTGGGGGATATCTGTCCTGTTCTGACATTTGGGGGGATATCTGTCCTGTTCTGACATTTGGGGGGATATCTGTCCCGTCCCTGACATTTGGGGGATATCTGTACTGTCCTGACATTTGGGGGATATCTGTACTGTTCTGACATTTGTGGGGATATCTGTACCGTCCTGACATTTGGGGGATATCTGTACCGTCCTGACATTTGGGGGATATCTGTACTGTCCTGACATTTGGGGGATATCTGTACCGTCCTGACATTTGGGGGATATCTGTACTATTCTGACATTCTTGGACCTCAAGAAATTAGATTGGCTGTCAGTAGTTCAGGATTGATCAATATTCAGATCTATACCATAGTTTGTGAACTCTATAACTTTCCTACAAACTAAATAATACATCCTAATTTGGGTTATTTTCACCAAAGACATGTAGCAGAATACATCTCGGCCTAAATTTATGAAGAACAACTATTTATTTGTAAACTTTTTATAACAGAAACAAAGAAAAACGTGTTTTTTTTTCAAAATTTTTGGTCTTTTTTTTGTTAATTTAGTAAAAAATAAAAACCCCAGCGGTGATTAAATACCACCAAAGAAAGCTCTAGTTGTGTGAAGAAAATGATAAAATTTTAGTTTGGGTACAATGTTGTATGACCGCGCAATTGTCATTCAAAGTGTGAGAGCGCTGAAACCTGAAAACTGGCCTGGGCAGGAAGGGGTAAAATTGCCCGGTATGGAAATGGTTAATATACCATTGGAAGTGTTTTGTTACATCGATCCTGCCAGGTCTCTGCCTGTGCTGCACTCCTATCAGTTCCATTGTTCCCACTTCTCTCTCTTCATGCGTCATTCCTGGAATGTTCCAGCTGGTCCTCAGATGAACAGATGCCGCACATGCTGGAGGTATGCACTCAGGACAGATGGCGGGGATTACCTGGGGACACACATGTCCATGGAGGCAATTCACCGACAGCAGAAGGAATGTCCTATTAATGAACACTTAGGCTCCGTTCACACCTGTGCAGTTTGCGGTTTGATCCATTTCTGCTGTGCTTTTTGCGGTGCGTCTTGCGTATTTGCACATGCGTTTTTACGTGTTTTTTGAGGCATTAAAAAAATGCATAAAAAACACAGTACATGCTTTTCTGCAGCATTTCCATTGAAGTCTATAGAACCAAAAATGCAACTTTTTGCATTTAAAAAAAAGTGTGAACCTAGACTTAAGGCTGAGTTCCAGCTAAAAGAAATAAGTCAGCGGCTAAAAAACTGTATCTGCTGACTTTTAAAATACAGTCACTTACCTGTCCCTCGGTCCCGCAGTGTCCTCACCATGGCTGGTTTCACCGGCCGTCTTCTCTCCCCGGCGCCGGCATCTTCAGTGTGGGCACCCGGCTGTGACAGCTTGCGGCTTCACAGCCGGGTGCCCACTGCGCATGCGTGAGAAGCGCTGCACTTTGTAAATAGTGCCGTAGTCTTCTGGAACCTGTCATGTGTCCCAGAAGACTACAGGGAGGGAGGGGGGAGGACGACTTCTGCTTCCGATCGCCTAGGTGATCACAGCAGAAGCGGGAGGGGGTACCTCTCAGATTCGGGTACCCGCTCCCCAAAGGTGCAAATCCTTAATGAAGAGGGAGGGATAAGTGCTTAAAGTGGAACTTCCCTTTTTGGGTGTTGCTCCGCATTAAGGTGAACCTATATTTTTACCATGTATGGAAAATCAACAGGTTGACTTTAAAGTGTATGTAAACCCTAAAAATGAACCTATTTGTTTCCTTTTGGTCAGTTAGAGTGTTACTAAACCCTGGACCCTGCATGCACTAAATCTGGTCTCCCAGGACCCAGCATTCACTATATCCGCTCTCCCCGAACCCTGCATTCACTATATCCGCTCTCCCTGGACCCCGCATTCACTATATCTGGTCTCCCCGAACCCTGCATTCACTATATCCGCTCTCCCTGGACCCTGCATTCACTATATCTGGTCTCCCCGGACCCTGCATTCACTATATCCGTTCTCCCTGGACCCCGCATTCCCTATATCCGCTCTCCCCGGACCCTGCATTCACTATATCCGCTCTCCCCGGACGCTGCATTCTCCCCGGACGCTGCATTCTCTATATCTGGTCTCCCCGGACCCTGCATCCACTATATCCGCTCTCCCCGGACGCTGCATTCTCTATATCTGGTCTCCCCGGACCCTGCATTCTCTATATCTGGTCTCCCCGGACCCTGCATTCTCTATATCTGGTCTCCCCGGACCCTGCATTCACTATATCTGGTCTCCCCGGACCCCGCATTCACTATATTCGGTCTCCCCGGACCCCGCATCCACTATAATCGTTCTCCCCGGACCCTGCATTCACTATATCCGCTCTCCCCGGACCCTGCATTCACTATATCCGCTCTCCCCGGACCCTGCATTCACTATATCCGCTCTCCCCGGACCCTGCATTCCCTATATCCGGTCTCCCCGGACCCTGCATTCTCTATATCCGGTCTCCCCGGACCCCGCATTCACTATATCCGCTCTCCCCGGACCCCGCATTCACTATATCCGGTCACCCCGGACCCCGCATTCACTATATCCGCTCTCCCCGGACCCTGCATTCACTATATCTGGTCTCCCCAGACCCTGCATTCACTATATCTGGTCTCCCCGGACCCTGCATTCACTATATCAACTCTCCCCGGACCCTGCATTCACTATATCCGGTCTCCCCGGACCCTGCATTCACTATATCCGCTCTCCCCGGACCCTGCATTCACTATATCCGGTCTCCGCAGAGCCTGCATTCACTGTATCAGGTCTCCCACAGTACACAGAACATGGAAATTTAATTATTCTCGTAACTATAAACTGCTAAATACCTTTTCTCATCAGCAGTATATTGCAGTCTTGTGACTTCTATCAGTGTCCAGCAGAGCACTGGTTAAAGATTGCAGGAGGAGTTTTCATTTTCCCTTGATTGTCCTATGAGGCTGCATAACCCCTGATCCTCTGTCTGGACAGCTCTAATTGGCCCTGTGCTGATCACATGCATCCCTCCAAGAAAAAAAAAACTTTATAGTCATACACACCAAACTGAGTATGTGCAGTTTTCCCCCAAGAATTTGTTCTACCATACACCTAGATGTATTGGGCACAGTAGAAGAAGGGGACGATCAGAGAAGACAGGATCTAACAGCCTTTTTACACAATGCAGAGGATTAACCCCTTAGGTTCCACAGTGAGTATAACAAGCATGCTTTCCTGCATCTACAGACCGATTGTACTGTTGGGGGTTCAGGAACACTTTAAATAAAGCAACGAAAGCATCTTGTCATTTTCTGAGTGTGAAAAAAACACCTGCTGATCCTGCCAGAAATGCAGTGCTGCGGGCTTAGCTCAAATGACGTTATTAGGGAAAGACATTGGTACAGGGGCGGACTGACCATTTAGGCAATTGGGCACTGCCCGAGGGCCCGGGGTCAGTAGGGGGCCCCATGCGATGCCCCTGGTACCTTTCATAGGCTTTTTTCGGTGTGGTTTCATTGTGGGCGAGGACACAGGGGCCCCATTATTTCCTATTGTCTGGGGGCCCCATGAGTTGTCAGCAGGGGTGGACTGACCATTTGGAAACTCGGGCACTGCCCGAGGGCCCGGGGTCAGTAGGGGGCCCCATGAGATGCCTCTGGTACCTTTTTCATAGGCTTTTTTGAGTTTGGGCAAGGACACAGGGGCCCCATGATCCCCTATTGCCAGGGGGCCCCATGAGTTGTCAGTTCGCCCCTGCTATGGTACAAGCCCTGTTACACTGTGGAGATGAGGAAAGTAGGAGCTGTTCTGTAGTCGTAACTTTCCATCCTAGGGTGATAACGTTGCTCCTCCATACATGCGGTCTTCTCAGGATCAACATGTGAAAATAAAAAGAAAAGGAATGCGGCCAACACATGACTGTACTGGTCATCTGCAATATATTCTGTTCCTTTTCATGTTAATGGGAACCAGGTCAGCTGATAGGCAAGTATAGTAGTAGGGAGTAGGTGGGTGTAGGACAGTTGAGGTCAACCTTTGTTAACCAGGGTTCCATTGAACCATTAGGTTCCTCTAGAAATTGCTGGGGGTTCCTGATGTGTACTGTTTCTGGCTTTCCTATAGGTTACCATTGACAAAACTCTAGCTAGCTATGTGTAGCTAGGGGTGTCCCTAACTAAACCCCTGTTTGTAACGCATACTGCTAGACAGGTTAGTTCGGTTTCTTTGCAGGCTGGTTGGCGAGCTGAGCCGGGAATTTTTCTCTTTTTTCTTGTTTGCCATGCGTCGCCCTTCCATGGGCTCCTTGTGGTGAAGGCCAGTTATAGACGGGGGCAGCGGCCATGTTCTGTCTCTCCAATCTAAGCATTGAAAGTGTGATCTCTGTAACTTACAGATGTGATGAGATAGCGATAACTCCAATCTTAGTTGAATATCACAGGCAGTGACTCGATCCAGAAGACATCTTGTAGATCTTGTGAAGTTTATTCCATAAACTGAGAGAATCTTACAACAATGGACATTCGATAGGTCAAAAGATCATAATGTGATCTGCTTCAATAAGACATGAGGCTAGAAGCTGACATGCATTACTGGGAAATGAATAAAAGGGTGGGGCTATCTATACAGCATGAACTAAACCAGAGGAAAGGGAGGAGCAGAGACAAAATATAGAGAACACTTAAAGGCATATGACAGTCATGTGAAACATAACAGGCCATTTTTTGTACTCTTCATGTTCTTCCCCCTTCTTCAGGCCCACATAAAAACACCTTCAGCTCTAGCCCCTAGTGCCTGAAACATGTCAGGATGACAGCACCTGTCAGCATTGGAACTCCCCTTGCATTGGACTGCATTGCTCATTGCAGGCTCAACGCAGTGATTTGCCCAAATCCATTGTCTTCAGTAGACCCACTGGGTTGGTGTGCACTGGGTGAAGATGGAACATGCTGCGGCTGAACGCAACGCAAGGCAAAGAAATGCACATCAACATGTTAAAAAAGCACATCAGCGCATGACTACGCAACTGTACATAAAGCGGAACTCCGCCCAAAAGTGGACGTTCTGCTAGTTTACCCCCATCCCCCCCCCCACCCCCGCACACTGCAACATTTGGAACTTTATAGGGGGGGGGCGGGTATCTGGTTTTGACAGGTACCCGCTCCCACTTCCAGGTCAGATCGCTTTGGCAAACTGACCTGGAAATTCAGCCCCCCCTTCTAGCCCCTGCAGCCTTTCGGGGACACTTCACAGGTCCCAGAAGACTGTGGTCCATTCACAAAGGGAGCCGGCTGTGAAGCCACAAGGTATGACAACATGTGTTAAATGCAACTCAAGGGGTGTGAATCCAGCCTAAGGGACGTATTTATAAAGCAGCAAACATGGTTGGCTCTCTGATTTCTGCTTTTTTTGTTCCCACCTCTTCCTGGAAGATTATGAACACATTCGCCCAATCTAGTCAGGCCTTTCCTATTGTATAATGGTAAAGACGGGTCAACAATGAATATCCAACGCATATCAGGCTTGGAGAGATCCAAAACACGGTCGTTCTAAGTTGTCGTTTGTAAACCAATACCAATATTAAATGTTTTTGGACTCTCGGAGTGTTTGGTGCTCTCTGTGGACTATATACAAATGAATCTTCAAATCTGGGCCCCCTGTTGGAGGATCTCCTAGAAGATTATGAACACCTTGGTCCCCTGTACTAACCTACATATTGGCCCAGTCTAGTCAGGGTCATTCTGTTGTACAAAGATAGGTCTCAGGAAGACCCAAAAACTTGGGTCTGGAGAAAAACTTCCAGTCTGTAGACATCCACAATGCGTCTGAAATTTTGGAAATTCTATGTGTTTTCTATTGTACAATTGTAAAGACGGGTCAACAATGAATATCCAACGCATATCAGGCTTGGAGAGATCCAAAACACGGTGGTCGTTCTAAGTTGTTGTTTGTGAAAAAATACCAATGTTAAATGTTTTTGGACTCTCTGAGTATTTGGTGCTCTCTATAGACTATATACAAATGAATCTTCAAATCTGTGCCCCCTGTTGGAGGACCTCCTAGAAGATTATGAACACATTGGCCCAATCTAGTCAGGCCTTTCCTATTGTATAATGGTAAAGACGGGTCAAACAATAAAATATCCAACGCATATCAGGCTCGGAGAGATCCAAAACACGTTGGTCGTTCTAAGTTGTTGTTTGTGAAAAAATGTTAAACGTTTTTGCATTCTCGGAGTGTTTGGGGCTCTCTATGGATGATATACAAATGAACAAATGAATCTTCAAATCTGGGCCCCCTGTTGGAGGACCTCCTAGAAGATTATGAACACATTGGTTCCCTGCACTAACCTACACATTGGCCCAGTCTAGTCAGGGTCATTCTGTTGTACAAAGATAGGTCTCAGTAAGACTCAAAAACTTGGGTCTGAATAAACACTTTGGGTCTGGAGACATCCACAATGCATTGGAATTTCTATGTGGTCGTTTGTGGACCGATACCAATATTAAAAGTTGTTGGACTCTCGTAGTGTTTGGTGCTCTCTATGGACTATATACAAATGAATCTTCAAATCTGGGCCCCTGTTGGAGGACCTCCTAGAAGATTATGAACACATTGGTCCCCTGCACTAACCTACACATTGGCCCAGTCTAGTCAGGGTCATTCTGTTGTACAAAGATAGGTCTCAGGAAGACCCAAAAACTTGGATCTGGAGAAAAACTTTGGGTCTGGAGACATCCACAATGCGTTGGAGATTTTGAAAATTCTATGTGTTTTCTATTGTACAGTGGTAAAGACAGGTCAACAATCAATATCCAACGCATATCAGGCTTGGAGAGATCCAAAATACGGTGGTCGTTCTAAGTTGTTGTTTCTGAACCAATAGGAATATTAAAAGTTTTTGGACTCTCATAGTGTTTGGTGCTCTCTTTAGACTATATACAAATGAACCTTCAAATCTGGGCCCTCTGTTGGAGGACCTCCTAGAAGAAGATTATGAACACATTGGCCCAATCTAGTCAGGTCTTTCCTATTGTATAATGGTAAAGACGGGTCAACAATGGATATCCAACGCATATCAGGCTCAGAGAGATCCAAAACACGTTGGCCGTTCTAAGTTGTCGTTTGTGGACCAATACTAATATTAAACGTTTTTTGGACCCTTGGAGTGTTTGGTGCTCTCTATGGGCGATATACAAATGAATCTTCAAATCTGGGCCCCCTGTTGGAGGACCTCCTAGAAGATTTTGAACACCTTGGTCCCCTGTACTAACCTATACATTGGCCCAGTCTAGTCAGGGCCATTCTGTTGTACAAAGATAGGTCTCAGGAAGACCCCAAAAACGTGGGTCTGGAGAAAAACTTCAGGCCTGGAGACATCCACAATGCGTTGGAAATTCTATGTGGTCTTTTGTGGACCAATACCAATGTTAAAGGTTTTTTGGAGTCTCAGAGTGTTTGGTGCTCTCTCTGGACTATATACAAATGAATCTTCAAATCTGAGAAGCCTGTTTGAGAACCCTCTGAAAGAATTTGAACACATT